CATGTGTGTTTGCGTGTATGTGTGTGTGCAGGTGTGTGCCTCGAATTCCAAATGAAATGAAACCCTATCTCAGAAGTGCCCTGCAACCCCGTCAGCGTACCCGGCAGGAGCATATCGCGCAGGGGTCCTTCTGCCAGCTCTCCCCTCGCGCCCTGTGTCTGCCCGTCTCGTCCACGCACTTCCTTCGCTGCCGCACGCTCTTCCTCCTGCCGCCGCCGCCGCCGCCGTCGCCGCTGCCGCACTTGTCCTCCAGGGTCGCCACCTGCAGGAAGCAAGAGTTCGTTAGCCTCTATTTCACGGGCACTTTTAGAGTGATTCATTGGGTGATTCCTGTAGTATCTAGCTAGAAAACCTATCTATCTAGAAATCTTATCTATCCGTCTAGAAAAGTCATCTATCCACCTAGAAAACTGATCTATCTAGAAATCTATTCTATCCACCTAGAAAACTTATCTATCTAGAAATCTATTTTATTCCAGAAAACTTTCTAGAAAACTGATCTATCTATCTAGAACACTAATCTATCCATCTAGAAAACTACTGTATCTAGAAAACTAATCTCTCTATCTACGAAACTTATCAGTCCATCTATCCACACAACATATCTATCAATCTAGAAAACTAATATATCCATCTATTTAGAAAACTAATCTATCTATTCAGAACACTAATCTCTGTATCTAGAACACTAATCTATCTATCTATCTAGAAAACTCATCCATCAATCTATTTAGAAAACTTATCTATCTATCTATTTAGACAACTTATCCATCTATCTATTCACAAAACATCCATATATTTAGAAAACTTATCCATCTATCTATCTAGAAAACTTATCCATCTATCCATCCATATATTTAGAAAACTTATCCATCTATCTATCTAGAAAACTTATCCATCTATCCATCTAGAAAACTGATCTATGTATCTAGATATCTAATCTATCCATCTAGAACATTTATCTATCTATCTAGAAAACTTATCTGTCTATCTATCTAGAAAACTAATCTATCTATCTAGAAAATGTATATATCTAAAAAACTTATCTATATAAAAAACTAATGTATCTATCTAGAACACTAATCTATCTATCTATCTATCCATCTATCTAGAAAACTTATCTATCCATCTATCTAGAAAACTTATCTAGAACACTAATCTATCTATCTAGAAAACTTATCTATCCATCTATCTAGAAAACTTATATATCTAAAAAAAACTTATCTACCTATCTATAAAACTTATCTCTCTATCTATATAGAACACTGATATATCTAGAAAATTTATCCATCTATCTAGAAAACCTAGTTACCTTTCTAGAACACTTATCTATCCATCTATCTCGAAAACTTCTCGATCTAGAACACTAATCTATCTATCTCAAAAACTTATCTATCCATCTATCTTGAAAACCTATCTATCCATCTATCTCGATAACCTATCTATCCATCTATCTCGAAAACCTATCTATCTCGAAAACCTATCTATCCATCTATCTAGATACCTTATCTGTCTAGAAAACTTATTCATCTATCCATCTAGAAAACTTATCTGTCTATCTATCAGTCTATCCAAGAGTTCACGGCCAGAAGGTCCTCCTCCTCCTCCGCACCTTTTTGCTGAGTTCGAGGACCGTCCTCGAGAGCTGCTCCACCAGGGCCTCGATGCCCTCGATTCGCTGCTCGTTGAGGTCCTCCTCGTAGGTGCCAAGGTCGTCCTCGGAGTCGTTTCTGCCGAGGCTTCGTCCCGACTTCTTGCTTTTCTCTAACGTTCTCTCGAGTTTTGGGCTTGGTTGCGGTGCCCTATTTTGCGCGTGTGAAATTGTTGGTGTCAGGTTATTTGCATATTAATATAGAGATTAGGCATTATAAGGCATTAAATACACTTAAACTTTGGCATCAATTAATCAAACCTTTACTTATAAAAAAAAACAAGATATTCCCTAAAACACGCGTCTATAACGTCTAACTAAACTACAAACATTAAAAAAATCCAACAACATATCACAATCCAAACATTCCCTACAAATATTCCTCCAACATCAAACAAACAAACACTTACCTCCCTTCACCCGATCCCTGCGTGGCGTTCTGCGCGAAATAACTCCCCTCAGAGAATGATCCTTTTAATTCGTGATCAGTGACCTTATCTAAGTCCATAAAGAGGTGCTCCCTGTCCTCTCTGTGGGAAAACTGCGCTCGCCTTCTGAACCGAATTGTGGGAACGTGAGTGATGGAATTTGGAAAAGCTGAACTCCGGCAGTCTTTCAAGGACGACGAAGGGGGAGAGAAAGTTATAGCTGTACATATACCGTGGCTGTGTAGGTTTGGCTGTTGTTTTTTTTTTATTCATTCATTTTATTTTTATTCGTCTTTTTTATTTCCTTCGTGTGTTTTTTTTTATGATTCGTGTGGGTTTATGTGGTCTGTGACCTTGCCTCCGATACAAGCTCTTTAAAGTGCCTTATGTTTAATGACCTAAATGACGTTTTTTTTTCTTTTGTTTTATATACTGTTGTTTTATTCCGATTTCGCCCTGGACAAAGAAACAAAACATGTGAATTTCACATTTATTCACTCTAATGTACATGATAAAACACGTGTTTTTTTTACCCTAATTATGAGAAAACAGGATCTCTCTATTTTATTTTCTCTCCAACTTAAAAAATCAAAACCATTGTTGTACATTTTCTTGAAATTAATTCAGAAACATCAATTTACAGTATCAGTCTCTTTCAAAAAAGTGAAAAAATGAAATTAAAGATCAATAAAAGCACTGCATTAGTGTTTAATAGTTTCAAAATAAAAAAAGAATGAAACTAAAGCGAAAAAAAACGTATCTATTTATATGAATTTATTTATCGTTCACAGCAGGTTCAACCATGCAAATTCTTAAAAGCCTGTGAACCTTTGTGAAGGGGGGTACTCTTAGGGGGAGGGGAGGGGGGGGGGGTTATTAGAACGCGTGTAAAATAACAAAATATTCATGCAGTGAATGAAGGGCGGGACGGGGGCGGGGCTAAGGGGCGGGGCGAAGGCGGAGCTAAGGGTTTTGGGGGCGGGGCTTCCCAGTTAATCAAAATACCGAAGAAAAAAAAAATTCAGATGTGGATATGCTTTAGACGATGATTTTGAAAACACGGAAACACCTATTATGTCTATTAGTAATTTTCCTTTCAAAACATGGCACAAACAAGAAAAAAATGCACTTTAAAGAGCTTATAAAGGATTAGGGCTTAGATTGAACAGTATAATAATATCAGTGTTGGAACTACAGCCTAAAGATCATTAAAATACCATACAATCATAAACATTTGTGGTTGAGTTATAAGCCTATAAGCAACATCAAAAATCCTTATATGATAAAGTGACTAGTAATTGCAAAAGTTAAAAGCTTTATTAATTAAATCGTATAATTTAGTATCGCTAAACTATGTGACTAGTGGCTGTAAAAGGTATTATTAAATTATTATTACTTTGCAGCAAAAAAAATAGAAGAAATTATAAGTATATGTGGTTCTCTTGTTAAACTTATAAACTTTCTGTAAAATAAGTAATTTTCTACAGATCTATCATGTTGTGACTTATTCTTGGTTCTGCAGCACAAAACGAAGACTAAAAAATCAACAAAACAAAACAAAATAAACAAAAAACGTACTGCCATTCACATCTAAGACTGCGACTTGGCAACATGGCAATCACTCAGCAACATACCAGAGCAGCAGTCAGACCAGATCCTCAAGTCAACATAGGGCAGTTTCGAGCAAGGAACAAACGCAGGATTCTGTTCTCGAGGAAGAACAAAAACGTCCGAGGTTATGTCCGTGATGTTGTCTCCGTTGTCGCACAGAACTCGTCCCAGAGTCACCTGCTTGATCTGTGCCAGCTGTTCGGGCTTGAACACGCCTGGGTTCTCGTACCAGAATCTGCGGAGAGAGGCATGATGGGAAATTGGAATGCACACACACACGTACACAGACATATACACAGACATACAAGCACGTACACGCATAGACATAGACACAGACAGACACACACACGAACACACACACACACACACACGTACACATATATATAATCTATCCATCTATCTATCTATCTGTTTACCTATATACCTATAAGCACACACATTTCACGTTCACATTTTTAAAATCTTTTTCTTCCCTTCCTTATAGCATCATAAATAAACTCCACAGAAACACAATGCCATATAAGCCTTCTCTAATACTAACGTACCTTCATAAATAAACAGAAACAATAACATATAAGCCTTATCTCATATTAATGCCCCAATATATCCCTTTTCCTCCGCCTTCGACCAACAAACAGCAAGACCACTTACCTGTCTCCCTCGCGCAGTCTTTTGAACTGGTCGACCAAGAGGCACAGGAAGGTGGGTCCAACGCGGGCGCCTTCCACAGGGTCCTCGAGAAGGCCTCCTACCCACAGGTCCACGTTGCCTGGGAGTTGGATGGGAGGAAGGGAAATGAAGCACAAAACACACACCCAAAAAAAATGAAAGAAAAGACGCCACAGAGATTCGTGTATTACAAAAAATACACAAGCACACAAATGAAAATAAAATGAACAAAAAGCACTATAAACTCGTGAATTACAAAACGCACAAAAAATAAAATGAAATAAACGGGGCTAAGTGGGAGAACTTTATTATTTATTGGAGTTCTTTCGTTATGACCATGTATATAGTTTTGTAGTCTCTCACTTTTTTATTACATTTTTTTCCATTATGGATGTACATATAGGTTTCTGATCTCTCTTTGAGTTTTTAAATATCTCTTAAAAACATAAAATCAACCTGGATGGCCATATAGCTCCTTGAGTTTGTCTATCTCTTTTCAAAGCCCCCCTCCTAAAAAAAATGGCTATTCAGCTACTTGAATTTGTTCAGCACAATAACCCCCCCAAAAAAAAAAAAAAAAAAGAGGAGAGAGAGAGAGAGAGAGAGAGAGAGAGAGAGAGAGAGAGGAGAGAGAGAGAGAGAGAGAGAGAGAGAGAGAGAGAGAGAGAGAGAGAGAGAGAGAGAGAGAGAGAGAGAGAGAGAGAGAGAGAAGAGACCTGTATGGCCATTGCTCGAGTGTAATCTCTCTCTCCTTCAAAAAAGAAAAGAAACAAAAAAAAATGGACGGCAAAACTAACCTGGATGACCATACAACTGCTTGAGTTTGTCTCTGATAGACAGCGAACTGATGACCCCGCTGAGATCGTCGAAGTCCTCGGGCACGGTGAGGTTGCAGACGCGGCGCCACTCAGCATACCCGGGCAGGGCGTGATCTCTGCCCCGTTGGATGTTCAAGGATGCCAAGTCCAGGGCGACCTCGTGGGCGGCGCGGAACAGCTTCTCCGTGAGCTCCGTGTTGAGGAACTGGCCCGGGGTCTGAGGGGAAGGGGAAGAGAGGGGAGAGAATTAGCCAAAAGGGGGATAGAAGGGAAATAGAAGGAAAAAGGGAAGGAGGGAAAGGAAGGAAGGATTGTTGTCGAAGTTTTCTGTTTTGTGGTGTTGTTCGAAACTTATGCTTCATGGCTGTTTTTCTCCATGTTTCAGCAAGTGCATTAAGGCCAGTATGGAGTGCACCTAAAGATGATAAAGAGAAATAGAACGGAGATGGATATAACCAAATACATTAGACGCAGAGAGAGAGAGAGAGAGAGAGAGAGAGAGAGAGAGAGAGAGAGAGAGAGAGAGAGAGAGAGAGAGAGAGAGAGAGAGAGAGAGAGAGAGAGAGAAGAGAGAGAGAGAGAGAGAGAGAGAAGAGAGCAGAGAGAGAGAGAAGAGAAGAGAGGAAGAAAGAAGAGAAAGAAAGAAAAAAGAGACAAAAAATCAAGAAAATCAGAGAAAAGATCCAGGAGGAATCACCTTGAGTTTGGCGGGGGTGGCGAAGAGTCCTCTGAGAAGGGGGTCGATGCCGCCCTCCTGCACGATGCGCCAGGGGCTGAAGAAGGCCTTGTGGAGCGGCAGGTGCCCTTCGGGGATGGGCTGGAAGGTGGCGTTGAGGCGGTGCAGGATCGGGTTGATCAGGGAGTGTCCGAACTGCGGGGAAGGACGCATATTACGAAAAGGAACGAAATAACAAGGCACACACACACGTGCATGCACGGACACACACACACGCACACACATACATACACACTCAAAACACACACACACAACAGGACCACATGTAGGGAAGCAGGTAATACAGAAATTAAGCACACGCGCGCGCGCACGCACGTACGCACGCACGCGCACACACACCACACACACACACACACACACACACACACACACACACACACACACACACACACACATCCCCATAACCATATAAACCTTTCATGTCTCAAACGCTACAGATATCACCGGAGACCGTTCCTACCTGTTAATTTGCTCTAATACCTCACCTTTGCACATACACAAACAGGTGATAACAAACCGAAAAACGAAAAAAAAATCTCTTTCGCCTTAAGACCGCCAGCAACGGTTCCTCACCTGTAGGCGGCCGTGGCGAAGACGTTACTAATCGTGGGATTGATGTTCGAGTTGTAGCCTGAGTATTCTCCCAGCATCTCCATCCCCCGCGGGCCCAAGATGTGCTGCATCCAGTGCTGGTAAGTGATGTGCTGCATCTCGGCTCCTACGATCTGAAGGGGAAAAAATCAAGTCAAATCGCAGCATTATTATATGCATTTTAAGACAAACCTTAAGAGAAACTTTGTACATTCCTGTGCTATAAGCCTTAAGAGAAACTACATCCCAGTGCTAAAAGCCTTAAAAGAAACTTTGTACATTCCAGTGCTATAAACCTTAAGAAAAACTTTGTACATCCCACTGCTACATCAGTGTGACAAAATCAATTCCCATGATACATTCTCTTAGCTTTTTGTCTCTCGCGATCGCCTGTGGACTTCGACCCCTCTCCTTGACACGTGAGACAACAAGGACCCATTTGACACGAAGGGAATGCCGTCCACTAACCTTTCTGGACTCGTAGTAGATGGTGTCTCCGTCCCAGCCCGGGTTGATCTCTCGCAGGGCCCGAGCCACGCGGTTGTGCTCGCGGAACCAAATGTTGTGCATCGCCGTCAAGCCAGACTGGGGGGAGAGTGAGAGAGAATGAGAGAGAATAAGAGAGAGAGAGAGAGAGAGAGTGAGAGAGAATAAGAGAGAGAGAGTGAGAGAGTGAGAGAGATTAGGTTTGAGGGAGGTCAGACTAACGAGGTTGGTAGGAGAGAGGGGAGGAGGGAGAGATTAGGATTGAGGAAGGTCAGGAGATTCGGTGCATCGGCGTCAAACCAGACTGAAGGAGGTAGGTAGGTAGGAAGTGGGAGGGAGGGAGAGGGAGAGGAAGAGGAAGAGGAAGAGCGAGAGAGAGAGAGAGAAAGAGAGCTTAGCTTAGCTTAGCTTGTGGTATTTTATTGGTAGGTGACAACTGTATTGCGTCTATGGCCACATTATTGCTACATGAACTACTTATGCAGAACACAGCGACACACACTCCACACACACCACACACACACACATTGACACACAGGGTTTTTATCACGTTTTGACATACGCAAGTTCCCATTCAGTCATTCACTCTCTGACGTCTCACCTGTCCATTCACTCCTCCAATCATCCTGACATCTCACCTGCCCATTCACCCTGACGTCACTCACTTGCCCATTCACTCTGACGTCACTCATCAACTCACTCACCCTGACGTCACTCACCTGGCCATTCACCCTGACGTTACTCACCTACCCATTCACCCTGACGTCACTCATTATTCCCCTGACGTCACGCACGTTATATGCCACCTACCATGACGGCGTCTGACGTCACTCATTATTCCCCTGAGATCATCACTACTACGCATGTCACTGACGATCACTTCCCTACTCACGGTCCCATGCCATTCACCCTGAGTCACTGACACGTTTACTCACTTCACTACCCTTCCCTTCGTACTCCACCGCCCATTCTACCCCTGACGTACTCACCTGCCATTCACATCTCGACTGCACAATATTTGTCACCTGCTCATTAGCCCTGATGTCACCCGCAAGGAAGCAGTCGATGCCGCTCTCCGTGACGTCCCTGCGGCAGTCGACCGGCGCCCCGTTGCTGAAGGGCATCATCGGCTTCCCGGACATGAAGATGCCGTGTCGCAGCTGGCCGTGGTTGTGCGTCAGGTTGCGCAGCAGGCGGACCTCGGCGGAGCTGGAGCCGTAGACCTGCGGGTGGGAGAGGTAGTTAGATTTTGTAGATAAATAGATAGATATAGACAGATAGATAGGTATATAGTAGATATGTAGATATATAGATAGACAGATAGATAGGGTAAATATGTAGAGATAGATAGATAGACAGATGAGATAGAGGTAGGTAGAGAAGAAGTTACATAGGTAGGATAGAGAGGGAGGAAGAAGGAGACGGAAAAGGAAAGGGAGGAGGGAGAGGGAATGGGAGAAAGAGGGGGAGGGGGAGGGGGAAAAGGGAGAGAGGAGAGGGAGAGAGGGAGAGAGGAGAGAGGGAAGAGGGAGAGAGGGAGAGAGAGAGAGAGAGAGAGAGAGAGAGAGAGAGAGAGAGAGAGAGAGAGGAGAGAGAGAGAGAGAGAGAGAGAGAGAGAGAGAGGAGAGAGAGGAGGGAGGGAGGGAGGGAGGGAGGAGGGAGGGAGGAGGAGGAGAGAGAGAGAGAGAGAGAGAGAGAGAGAGAGAGAGAGAGAGAGAGAGAGAGAGAGAGAGAGGGAGAGGAGAGAAGAGAGAAGAGAGAGAGAGAGAGAGAGAGAGAGAGATGCGCGAGAGCGAGGAAAGAAAAAAATATGAAATTCCGAAAACAGAAAAAAGAAAAAAAAAAAATACGAACAAGCATACAGAAAAACATGAAAAAAAAAAACAAGAAACAAGAAAAAAAAAATAAAGACAATAAAAAAGAAAAAAAAACATAACAAAAACAATACCAACAACGAACCAAGTAAACAAACAAAACCTCGCATCCCCCACCTGCGACCCATCAATAAAGGACGTGAGCTGGTTGATCTGTTCCCTGGGCAGCACCGTGTCATAGAAAACGGAGGTCATGCCGGATCCGCAGATGCCGGACGAGCGGGTGAACTCCATACAGCGGTGGTGCCGGATTCTTGGGTCGTCCGGGGGGATCTCGATCGGGAAGCACGGAGGGGCGTAGTCACATGATCTGGGAGGGGAAAGGGGGAAGGATGAGGGAAAGGGGGGAAGGGGAGGTGGAAGAAGAAGGGGGAAGGGGGAAGGGGGGTAGAGGGGTGGAGGGAGAGGGGATGGAGGGGAAGGGAAGGGGAAGGGAGGTGGAAGGAAAGAGGGGAGGGGAGAAAGGGGAAGAGGAAAGAGGGGGGGAGTGGGAGGGGGATAAGGGGGGATGGGTTTGGGGAAGGAGGAAAGGGCGGGTTGGAAGGGGGAGGGGAAGGGGAAAGAGGGTAGGAAAAGGGAAGAGAAGAGGGAGTGGGATAACAGAGCGAGGAGAAGGGGATAAGAGAGTAGGGAGGGGAACAGGAGAGGAGAAGGGGCAAAGAGGGAGGGAGGGGAGAGAAAGGATAATAATTAGTAATATTAATGCTTTACTAGTTTTTACGATAGATTCATATTAATTTGATTCACTAACAATAAAACATTAAAAAATTATTGAATGAAAAATATTAAAAGCCGAAGGAAAGGGGATAAGAAAAGCATGAAGAAAGTGAGAGAGATGAGAGAGAGAGAGGAGAGAGAGAGAGAAGAGAGAGAGAGAGCAGAGAGAGAGAGAGAGAGGAGAGAGAGAGAGAGAGATGAGAGAGAGAGAGAAGACCGAGGAGAGAGAGAGAGAGAGGACAGAGGAAGGGGAGGAAGAGATTGAATAGATAAGGAGAAGAAATAAGGAGTGAGGTGAGAAAGATGTAAAGAAGGAGAAGGATGATGATGAGGAGAAGGAGGAGGAATAGGAAGAGAATGGGAGGAGGGGGAAGGGAGGAGAGGAAAAAGGAGAAAGAGGAAGAGGAGGAGGAAAAAAAAGATTGGGGAAGAGGAGGAAAAAGATGAAGATGAAGATGAAGAGGAAGAGGAAGAATAGGAAAAGCAGAAAAAGGACATGGATAAGATAAGGAGCAAGAATAAGAGAAAGAATTAGAGCAAAAGTAAGACTAAGAGTAAAGAACCAGAGTAGAGCAACAACCGCGCGTAAAAAAAAAAAGAAAAAAAAGAAAAAAAAAGAAAGAAAAGAAAAGAAAAAATACAGGAAGAGAAGGCCCATTCCCGAAAGCCCAATAAAAACAACAACAACTTACCTCTGGCAGCTGACCCCGTCGTGGAAGCTCTCCGAGGACACCGAGGGGAGGGCGTGGTCTATGTCGTGGTCGAGGAACTGCCCCCACTGCATGAGCATGTGCGTGCAGTGGTGGTCGGGGGAGACGTCCTCTGTGCTGATAACCCGAGTCGACACCAGGCGGGCGCTCGGCTTGAAGAACCCGTGGTAGCGCTTCGTTTTGGACCAGCCTGGGGTTTGGGGGGGGGGGGTGGAGAGGGGGTGGTGGTGGGGGAGGGGAAGAGGTGGTGGTGGAGATGGGGAGGGGGTGGGAAGGAGAGGGGTGGAAGGAGATGGGAGGGGTGGAGGGGGTGGAAAGGGGGGTTGGTAGGTGGTTCGGGAGGGGAGGGGGGGTTGGAAAAGGGGTGGTGGTGGTTGAGGGGAGAGGGGGTTGGAAAGGGGAGGGGGTGGTGGTTGAAGGAGAGGGAAGGGGTAAGAAAGGGGCTCAAGGGGGTTAGAAAGGGAGGGGGGTGGAAGGATGGGGTTGGAAGGGGAGGGTGGAAGGTAAGGGGGTGTGTGGTTTGAGGGGGGTTCAGGGGAGGGTGGTTGGAAGGTGAGGGGATGGTGGTGGTTCAGTGCATGGGAAGGGGGAGGGGGTGGAGGGTGGTTGAGGTTATGATGGAGGTGGAGCAAGTGGAGCGACGACGAGTGGGCGAAGAAACAAGCAGAGATTAGCAGGGAGACATCGGAGAGAGAAAGGGCCTCTTTTTGCAATCTCAATTTCATTATAACAACGATTTTCATTGTCACTCAAATTAAGGGTATGTCAGATAACTGTTATTATCATAAATATCTTATTAGCATAATCAGATAGAGATAGTCAAATAGATAGATAGATAGATAAATAGATAGATAGAGAGAGAGGGAGAGGAGAGGGGAGAGGGAGAGGGAGAGGGAGAGGGAGAGGGAGAGGGAGAGGGAGAGGAGAGGGAGAGGAGAGGGAGAGAGGGAGAGGAGAGGGAGAGAGGGAGAGGAGAGGAGAGAGGGAGAGGAGAGAGAGAGAGGAGAGAGAGAGAGAGAGAGAGAGAGAGAGAGAGAGAGAGAGAGAGAGAGAGAGAGAGAGAGAGAGAGGAGAGAGAGAGAGAGAGAGAGAGAGAGAGAGAGAAGAGAGAGAGAGAGAGAGAAGAATAATAATCGAGAAAGCGAAATCGCGACCGAGACTCACCCACAGGCGTGTTGAACCCGTTCTCGTAGATGGGGTTCAGAACCCTCCTGAAGCCGGTGAGCGAGGCGCCCCACAGCGGATGGCGCAGGTTGTTGCAGGTGCCGTCGTCGGAGCGGTACTTGGTATGGAAGCACATGTCGTCGCAGTAGACGTTGCGACGGTGAGCCAGGCAGCCCGAGAGGTTGGTCAGGAGCACCACTTTTTCGGGCGAGAGGAGGTCCTGGTAGCTGAAGGCTGCGGGAAGGGGAGGGCGGTGAGAAAGGGGAAGAGACGTCGGTGTTGGCTTGGGTAGATTTATTTCTTTTTCTTTAACTGTATTCATGTTGACAGATGTAGGAAGGTGTGAATGAGAATGATTTTTTCTTGAACCGTATTCATGTGTGAATGAAAATGATTTTTTTTTTCTCGAACCATATTCATGTTGACAAATGTGGAAAGGTATGAATGAGATAAAGATCGTCTCATTTCATTATCGAGAAAGTCATGATAAGGATTGAATTTATAATTGGCGGAACTAAAACGCCTTAATTCATCATGGAAAAAACAAAGGCCATTTTTGGCGAAGGATGATGTCAAGAAACTCACATACACACACTAAAGAGACCCCATTTCGCTAAAAAGACTCCACTTGGACCCACACGTCAGTGTTGATGACTATCCCGGACTCCACAAGTAAGAGACTCCACTTCGGGACTCAACAAACACACACACACACGAAAGAGACTCAATTTCGGGACTCAAGAAATACACACACACGCAAAAGAGACTCCATTTTAGGACTCACACGTCAGGTTGAAGAGCATCCCGGACTCCACAAGACAGAGACTTCACTTCGAGACTCAAGAAACACACACACACACAAAAGAGACTCCACTCGGGACTCACACGTCAGGTTGAAGAGCATCCCGGACTCCACATGGCGCATGACGATCTGTAGCGTCTGCTCGATCATCTCCGTCGCCCGAGCTATCTCACGCCCTTCGTTCGACGGGAAGCGGAAGATGCGCAGGAGCTCGTGGGGCTGCGGGGCGCGGCTGCGGTCACGCCGGAACAGCTGGCTGAGGGGGTGGAAGGTATGGGGCAAGGAGAGGGGGGGGCAAGGGGGTAAGAGACGAGGGGAGGGGGCAATAAACAAGGAGTGGGAGAAAGGGGAGGGGGGCAAGAGACAAGAGGGAGGGGCAAGGGACGAGGAGGAGGGGCAAGGGGAGGTAAGAGACAAAGAGGGAGGGGAAGGGAAGAGGGGCAAGGGGTAGGGGACAAGGGGCAAAATGGAGAGGGCAAGGAGAGGGGACAAGGGACAAGGGGAAAAGGGGTATGGGCAAGGGGGGATCAAGAGGAGGGGGGAAAGGGGCAAGATGGAAAGGGGGAAGAGGAAGATGTAGGGAAGCATTAAAGTGAGGATGTGGGGAATGGGAAAAAGAGGAAGAGTGGAGAAGGATGAGGATGAGTAGACGGAGGAGAAAAAACAACAAAGAATAATCAATATAATCAACGATAAACAGACACACACACACACTAATGACCATAAATATACAAATAAAACTTCCCACGGGGCCTCCTCCAGGATGGCCGTGTCCCCCGCACCTGATGGTATCGTTGACGGCGCGGTCGACCTGCTCGCGCGCCTCGTCGAAACTCTGCTGCAGGAAGGGGTCGCCGAGGTGCGGCTTCTCCTCCTCTGAAACGTTTGCTGGTGTTACTGATTGGTTACAGAAGTGGTGAACGTTTTCTTTCGATTTCTCTTTTTCTTTCTTTCTCTTTCGATTTCTCCTTTTTCTTTCGATTCTCTTTCTTTCTTTCTTTCTATTTCTTTCTCTTTCTCTGACTCTCTTTCTTTCTTTCTTTTTCTTTCTCTTTCTTCATTACGGAATACTGATGAGAATGGACCTATTATATAAAAAATAATATTTTTTCTTCTATCTAAAAGTAACGTTACGTGGATTGATACTACATATAATCAGGTAAAAATAATTAATAAATTCATTTTTTTACGGAGTGACTCAAAAAATTATGGACAATTATCAATGTTTTAAATTTTCCTCTTTTTTTACCCAAAAGGGTTATAAGGAGTGACTCACAGAATACGGATATCCATATACTTAATTCCCCATGGTAAATCCACTCCCCCTGTGTTTTTCGACACCCTGTGTTTTTCCAACCCCCCCCCCCCCACCCCGTGTTTTTTCGACCCCCTCTGTGTTTTTCGACCCCTCCCTGTGTTTTTTCGACCCCCCCTGTGTTTTTTCCACCCCCCCTGTGTTTCTCGATCCCCCCCCCGTGTTTTTCGCCCCCCCCTGTGTTTTTTCGACCCCCCCGTGTTTTTCGACCCCTCCCCCCCCCTACTGGCCACCCACCTTGCACCGTGAGTCGCGCCCTGGCAGTAGCGAAGCCGACGTGGTTCTGGGCGTTGCACTCGTACAGCCCCGCGTCGTCGGTCGTCACGTTGTGGACGAGAAGGGCGCCGTCCGTCTCTATCCTGGGAAAGGAGAGTATGAATGAAGGATTGGGGGGGGGGGGATTTGTGAATGGAAGCGGGTGATTATTTCAGTTCGGGGTTTTCTTGTTTTGTATCTCTGTTTGTTTTTTGTTTGTTTTTTTTTTTCTCTCTTCCCTCCCTTCCGCTTTCTTCACCTTCTCCTTCGTTCTCTATCTCTCTCCCTCTCCTTCCCCTCCTCCCACTCCTCCACCACTACCACCTCCCTTCCCCACCCGCTCCCATCCCACACCTCCTCCCTTCCCCTCTCCTCCCTCCCACTCTCCTTCCCCTAATCCTACCACCCCCTCCCTACCCTCTCCTTCCCTCCTTCTACCCTCCTTCCCACCATCCCCTCCCTCCCCCTCTCCTTCCCACACCCTCCCTCCACTCTCTTTCCCACCCCATCCACCAACTCTCCACCACCCCTCCCATCCCCCCCTCTCCACCCCTCCCTCTTCCTCCTCCCTCCCTCCTACCCTTCTTTCCCTCCTTCTACCCTCGTACTTTCCCTGTCCTTCCCACCACCCTTCCCTCCCTCCTTCCTTCCTTCCCTCCTTCCCTCCCTCCCTCCCCCACTCCCATCCCCTCCCTCCCTCCCTCCTACCCTCCTCCTCCCTTCTCCATTCCCACCACACTATCATCCACCCCTCCTCCCCTCTCCCACCCCATCCCCCTCCTTCCTTCCACCACACTATCACCCCTCCCCCTCCCATCCCTACCACCCCTCCTCCTTCCCAACCCCTCCACCACCCACCCTCCCTCCTCCCTCCCCACCCCTCCTTCCCACCCCATCCCATCCCCTCCTTCCCTCCCTCCTCCCACCCTACCCTCCCTCCTCACCTGTACTTCTCCCCGTCGTCCCTGAGGAGCTGCCCGTCCTTCCTCCACGCGATCAGGGGCTTGGGTCGACCGTCGGCTCGGCAGGGCATCGTCACGGCGTCCTGGCCTTCGCTCGCAACGACGTCACGCGGTTCCTGCCGAATCACTGGGGCGACCTGGTGGGAAAGAAGGTGAGAGTGGGAGTGATATACATTTTTTTTTTTGGGGGGGGGGGGGGGTGATATACTTCTTTTTCTTGGGGGGTGATATACTTTTTTGTTTTTGTTGGGGGGTGATATACTGTTTTTTTCTCTCTCTTTTTGGGGTGGTGGGGTGATAAAACTCTTTTGATTTTGTTGGGGGTGATTATACTATTTTTTTTTCTCTCTTTTTTTTTGGGGGGAGGAGGGTGATATTACTTTTTTCCTTTTTTTTTTGGGGGGGGTGATATACTTTTTCTTTTTGGAAGGGGTGGGTGTTGGAGGAGGGGGTTGGGGTTGAAAGGTATGCGAGAGAGGACATAAGAAAGGGGACATACTAAAGGAGCAAAAGAAAGGAACATTACGAAGGGACATAAGAAAAGGCATAAGAATGAACAGGAGAAAGGCACACAAAAAAGAAAACTGACAAAAAGAAAGAGACAAGAGAAACAGACACAGGACAAACAAAAAAAACGGACACCAAACTCACCTTCTCACGTACGTACAGCGCGCGACGCTCCACGGACCCAGCTGGGTTCTGGGCACGGCAGACGTACTCTCCTTCGTCAGAATTTTTCACGTACTGACCCTCAGACTGATACCTGGGGGGGGGACGGGGTGAAGGCGAGGGGGAGGGAGAGGGTAAGGGAGGGGGGGGGGGGGGGGGGAGGGACGGGGTGAAGGACCGAGGGGGAGGGGGCGAAGGGAGAGGAGAAGATGATAAATTAGATAATGAGAGACGGTGTGTAGGTGGGTGATGGAGGTGATGGATGATTGATTGCGTGTGTGGTACATTTTTCTGAGATGTGGATTTGTTTGTCGTAATGTTTTGGCTTTTTGGGGGGGTTGTTTTTTCTCATTTTTGATTTCGATGTTTTCTCTCTCTCTCTCTCTCTCTTTTCGCTTTCTCTCTCTCTCTCTTTTTCTTTCACTCTTTCTTTCGCTTTCTCTCTCTCTTCCTTTCTCTCTCTCTCTCCTCTCTTCCTCCCTCTCAATCCCTCCCTTCCTCTCCCTCTCACTAGATTTCTCTCTTTTTTTCTCTTTCTCTTTCTTTTTCTCTTTCTCTCTCCCTCTCTCTCTCTCTTTCTTCGTCTTTTTCTCTCTCCCTCCTCCCTCCCTTCCCTCTTTCTCTCTCTTTCTCCTTCTCTCTTCTCTCTCTTCTCTCTCTCTCTCTCTCTCTCTCTCTCTCTCTCTCTCTCTCTCTCTCCTCTCTCTCTCTCTTCTCTCTCTCTCTCTCTCTCTCTCTCTCTTCTTCTTTCTCTCTCTCTTCTTTCTTTTTTTCTCTCTCATCTCTCCCTCTCTCTTTTTCTCTCTCTCCCTCCTTCTCCCTCTCCCTCTCTCTCACCGCCCACGGAGATGGTGTGACGACTCGAGGGCGCGATCGGCAGCCCATTCCTTGACCACGAGATGATTGGCACTGGCACCCCCGCCGCCTGGCACGTGAACTGGACGCTGCTGCCCGGGCTGGCGTACTGGTCGTCTGGCTCTCCGGTCAGGCGCGGTGGCACTGCGGGCGGGAAGGGGCGTGTTAGAGGTGTGGCGCAGGGGCGTGTTAGAGGGTGTGGCGTAGGGGCGTGTTTGAGGGTGGAGGAGGGGTGGAAGGAGTGTGGGGAGGATCGGTGGGGCGTTGTTGAGGGGCGTAGGGGGGGTGTGTAGACGGTGTGTGGCGGAGAGGGTGTCGTGGGTGTAGGGTGTAAAGTGGAAAGGGTGGCGTGGGGAAGTGTTTTGGAGTGAAGATATATTTTTTATTCTTTTTAAAATAAAGTTTCCACGAAGTGTTGAACACTTTTATCGAAACTAAAGCCGAAACATTTTTTTCTCAGACCATTCGAACAAAAAGCACAATCCCTAAAAAACAAGAAACATGGAATCCTTCGGGCAGCGAAGGACTCCCACGGGGCGGCCTCTCCCACCTAGGACCCTGAGGGCGGCGCTGGCGGTGACACGCCCTAAGTGGTTGGCCGCCGTGCACAGGTACGTGGCGGCATCACTGGGCACGGCGGACGAGATGGTCAGCGCCCCCCGGTTCGAGATCTGGAGAGAGAAAATGGCCGTCAAAAAAATCTAAAAATCTGTGGAATATGATGGCGAAAGAAAATGGCCGTCTAGAAATCTAAAAATCTGTGGAATATGATGGCGAGAGAAAATGGCCGTATAAAAATCTGTGAAATACGAATAAATTTGGCGGGAAAAGGCGGCTCGGGTTCATCCTTCTCCGAGTCCTTTAACGGTAGCGTTCAAATTCGCTAGCTTGCTCACCCGCGTTCGAATCCCCGCACTGCTAGCGGATGGTGACCCCGGGCATTCCTTGCACACAGGGGGTAATTTAGAAGTATAAATAAACAGACAGCCTGCCACACAAAGCATAAGAATAATCATCTTAAAGAAAGAAAAAATAAAAAAAAATTATGAATTATCATTATCTGTTGTTCTCTGGCTGTCAACACTAATAACTTCCGTTCAACTTATTCTTTTGAAACCTTTGCTCATTAAATAAAGGGAATGAAAAATAGTGAATCCCTTTTAAATAACGCTTCAAAATAATACAAT